TTTTACCTGATAATAGTATATCTACCTCACCTCTCTTTTGATTATTATTTGTGTGTACTATCTCTTCAATTCTTATCTATTTTTATTGACGCTTCCTCTTGTGAATTGAATGAAGGTTTACAGTTTGTTTTGCATTCAACCAATCAGACACTTGCTTCATCTCAGTGATTGCAATCCCCTCCATCTAACAGTTTGCCCACTTCTTCCCTGTGATTCCTGTTTCCATTCCAGCATCCTTCTCATTCCGGTTGTTCAGCTTTAGGTAAATGTTGCCCTGGTTATTTTGAATGGTTGATTGCATGGTGAGTGTACCTGACTAGTGTTGTTGGTCCCTGTACATACCAATCTACTGCTCAGCAGAGAACTGGGCCCCGAGGATGAGTTCTGTTTCAGACATGAAAGGTGGTGAAGGGCCATAGTCTGGGGCTCCTCCAGTCTCTCTGGCCAGTACGGAGCATTTTGTTTATAGTTTTGAGTTTTGTTCCATATTTTCTCCCATTCTGTCTGGGCCCTTCTAGTGTACTCCCTTTCCGAGCAGTTGATCGTGGTAGCTGGGCACCATCTAGTTCGTCTGGTCTCAGAGTCGTATACCTGCTCCATTGGTCCATTGCACTAGTTGATTCCAAGCATCTTCACATTTTTATCACTCTTTCTTCTGCAGATGAAGACGCCAATAGTTCCACCGTAGATGACCCCTCGTGAGTTTTGATGATCCCAGTCACTACTCACCAAAGTGGGATGTAGAACATGGTGTTTGTGGACTCGGTTGGTCCAGCTGACCGTGGTGTCCCCTGAGCCTGTGGTCCTGAGCTCCCAGCCCCAGCAGCTCATTGTCTTAAGATGTTTGATAAGATCTAAGAGGTTTTATCATCCTGTCCCCTGGGTGCTCTACCACGTTCATAGGTGTGTTTGCAGCAAAGGGACAAATTGTTGTTGTGAAATGCTATCAAGTCAGTTCCAGCTCACAGTGACTCTGCATAGGGTTTCTGAGGAGTCATGGGTTTGAACTACCAACCTGGTATTTGTTGTTAAGTGTTGTTAAGTGCCGTCGAGTCGGTTCCGACCCATAGCGACCCTGTACAGGGTTTCCGAGGGTGTAAATCTTTACGGGAGTAGAAAGCCTCATCTTTCTCCTGCGGAGCGGCTGATAGTTTCGAACCGCTGACCTTAAGGTTCACAGTCCGATTCGTAACCACTACGCTACCAGAGCTCAGCAGTCCAGTATTTACCCTACAGTGCCACATCAGGGCTCACATGTACAAATGTGCTTTTTCAAATCCTTATGCATACATGTGGACAGGCTCCTGCTCTTCCTTGCATTCCTGTTCAATCTGCATGTCTGTCCACGTACCTGCCCACAGAACGCTTGTTGCATACATAGCAGTATTTACCTCTTTCCCCTTGCAAACTCCTTGTGTTTTTACCTGTCTTCATCATTCTTCTGCCAGCCTCCCTTTTCTTGGATATTGACATCCCTATCACTCAAGTTAACACTCTGGTAGCGTAGTGGTTACAAATCGGGCTGCTAACCTCAAGGTCAGCAGTTTGAAATTACCAACTGTTCCATGGGAGAAAGATGAGGCTTTCTGCTCCCGTAAAGATTTACAGCCTTGGAAATCCTATACAGGGCCGCTATGAGTCGGAACCAACTCCACGGTACTTAACAACAACCCTCTAGCCAGAGTCGTGGTGTGGAGCAGGATAAGCACTGGACTGCAAGGTCGGTTTGAACCGCAAGATCAGCAGTTCAGATGCACCAGCCACTCTTCGTCAATCCTGTACAGGGTCACTATGAGTCAGCTGACTCCACAGCAGGAAACCGACTGCCCTCTAGCCAGTGAATTAAATTACTTTGCCTTTCCTGCCATCCCTGCTGAGCATCATAGAATGCTGCTTTTAGCATGGAACTTTTTCTTGAGTGTAAAAATCGTCCCAATCCTTTTATGATTGACTGATTTTACTCTACATAATGTTCTGCATAGCCTGGCCTTTTTAAAATAAATTTTTTTTGAGTTTTGTTCCACATTTTATCCCACTCTGTCCAGGACATTCTACAGCGATCTCTTTCAGAGTCATTGACAGGTAGCTGAGCACCCTCTATTTCCTCTGGTCTCATGGTTGTAGAGACTGATGTTCCTGTGGCCCATGAATCCAGTAGACTAATTGAGTCCTGGTGTGACGCTGTAGAATCGGCACTAGAAGCTAATCGCACTCCTTATACAGGTCTGTTAGGAGTTGGCACCAACTCCACGGTACTTCTTCCAATGAGCAGTTGGTCCCAAGCACCTTCCGTTTCTTTTACTCTTCTTTCCTCTAGACAGGGACAATACTTCATCTTAGATGTCTGCTCATGAGCTTGTGAGATCCCAGTCGCTGCTCATCAGTCTCCTTCTTTCTTTTTTTGTTTAGAATAACAAAAAATATTTTACCAAAACATAAGATTTACAGACATTTCAAGACAAGCCATACAAAATAGTCATAAGCTTTTTCTTGAAGGAAGGATTCTACACTTGGCAGCAAAGTCACAATGTTATTAGTGAAGGCTGGGATGTTTGTTTAATTAGTGTTCCCATTTTGGTTGAAACAATCAAGTCTTGTCCATCTACAGCGTCTAAATAAAGTTAGACTTGGCTAGAGGGTATATTCTAAAGAACAACTGGTTAGCTGCTTTGAACCAACGCAGTTAGGTCACCATAAAAAGGGGGAAAGGAGTGCATAAATTTAAAATTAAACTACCTCCCCCCTCAAACAAAAAAGTAAAAGAAAACACCCAGAGCCCTGCAGCTAACCCTGACAATCACCTTCATTCACTGTGCTTTATACTTAAACCATGATGGGGGAGAAATGAATCAAGGCAGAGAGGGGTCACTGCTTTTAAACATTTAACAACAATCCAGATGGTACTTCTCGCCTCTGCTCATGCTGTACGACAGTTAATCAGGGCAAGACAGATTTGCTAATGTGCATTTAATCACCAAAGGACTGAACGTGTCTGGGCTTTTTTTCTGTAATGTTTCTTAGCCTGTGCCCATTGAATGCAAACAAAAAAGGAGGACGTCTTGGCAGAACAGGAGAAGTGATACACACTTGATGATCAAATTGGTTCAGATACTATTCCTGGCAGAGAGCCTCCTCCGTTCGTCTTCCACTGCGCTGTTCCATCACATCGTTGGCTCATGGATTACCTGGGCCGGGAGCGCTTCACAAAGCCTGGATGGATAGCAGAAGTGTGTGGCTCTGCGGTGCTGGGGACCACTTCTCTTTTACAATAGCCAAACATGTTCTTCCCAGCTTGTCTACAGTAGGGTGATACATTTTGGTCACGAAACGAACTTTAGGAGCTGCCATTGGGTATTCTTCTAGAAAGAATAGTTCAAGTTTAAAAGTCCCTCCCTCAAAGGAGGAATCCTGGGGCCAGCAGTGACCACATGAAAATATCAAGCGCTACTCTCATCTGGTTCTGCCAGCAAATGCTGGGTTTCCTAGGAATCCTGTGGGGCAGCCCTGCCGTCTTGTCAGATCCCGAGTTCGGCCTCTGCTCTTGTCTCCGGCTCTGTTCGCCTCACACATGAGTGGAAGTCCTCTGTCTCCTTCGTTCTGGAAGGACAGCTTTACTGCCTATCACATTCCTGGTTGATGGTGCTTTTCCTTGAGCACTGGCAACGCCCTTGCCTTTTTTCTGGTTTCTCATCGGGTTTGGCACGTTCCTGGCCTACGATGAACTTGTTAGCATGTTTGATGGCGTTCCACAGGTCTCTTGGACTCTCTTCAAGTGTTCTTCATTCTGTTTTGTTTTTCTGCTTCTCAGACTTGGTAATTGTACAGTTTGCTCTTGTGTTGAACCTCCAGACTGCCCTTCTCATTTCTGTTACCATTCTTGAGCTCCACAACTTCTGTCTGGTTCCGGTTTATTACGTTGACGTCTGTTTATTGACCTCCTTTTGTTCATGCATTTCCCTGATTTTCTTTAGTTCTTTACCCACTGCTTCCTTATCCCAGCATATCTGAGGTAGTTGGATTAATGTCTTTGACTAGTAAATCCAGGGTCGGGGAATTCCTAGTCAAAGACATTAAACCAACAACTTGGATTTTCATCAAATTCGTTTTCTCCAATGCATGGACCACACTCCTGGTTCTTTGTATGTTTCACAGCTTTTTGTTGTGTATTAAATGGGGTGCTCCCAGGGGCTACTGGTGTCACTTCATGAAGGCCCCGTCCTCTTGGTTCAGTGACTTAGACGGAGTTTTTGCAGAGTGTGTGTATTCTGGTTGGCTGTGGTCACTGAGGGTTCTGCGGTCAGTCAGTGGCCTGACCGGTTCTATGCTCGCACAGACAGAAGCTGTACTGGCTCTTGAAGTTACCCCCGGAAGAGGCCACTGCTCTGGGAGGACCCAGGTGTTGCACTGGCCTCAGGGTCCTGCTGGACCAATTGAGCTTATCGGAGGACATGCTCCTCACTGCCATCACTGTAGGGATGCGGGTTACCAGGAAAGAGAGCAGCCTGCCTCGGTGGCAAGCGCTCCTCTGCATGTGTTGTATCCGAGAAGGTTCCAGAAGGCTGGATCCCATTGCCCTCTCTAGTTCTCGTGTGGTGGGAGGGTAACTCGGGTGCCTCCAATTTCTTCCACACCCCAGTCTAGGGACTGTGTTTGGGGCTGGTGCTGCTCACTGGCTCAGAGACGCAACACCGTTAGTAGTTGGGGGGAGGGGGGCGCGGTGTCAGGTGGTCACTGCGGCCTAGCCTTGGATGGGCCTCGCAGAGCCCTGGGAGGAATTCAGTGGCCTGGTGGCTGGCACCTGCAGATGGGTGGATGCCAGGCTCCACTTCCCGGAGGGCGCTGGTGATCTCATACAGGTGTGGACCATGTCCTCTGGTGCTGATTGGTATCAGCTTCTGCTGCCAGGTGCCATCTTGCAGGCTGGCCGTCAGAGAAGTCTGTGCAGGGGGCGGGGGGTGGCGAGCCAGTGGGACAGCTGAGTGACTGACCTCCGACCCCAGGCAGGTGCTGGTCGAGCACTATAGCCGGCTGTCGGCGGAGGCAGCGCGCCGGGAGCAGAAGGCGTTGTGGAGGCTGCAGAGACGCCGGCTGGGTGAGGCGCGACGCTGCTTCCTCCTGGCCGACCAGACACGCCTGCAGGTAGCTTTGGGCTGTGGGTCCTAGAGGTGGAGACGGAGGGTCAGTGTACTGGTGCTGGCTGGCCATCCAGGCTCCGCGGGCTTGACATCTGAGGCCGGGTGTGGAGGCTGAGGAGGCGGCGGGGGTGGCTCTGGTTTGTTCTCAACCTACAGTGGGCACCGCCTACATTGGGCACTACCTTCGGTTCCAGGAGCTGCTGCAGGATGTGTCGGAGGGGACGTGCCCACAGCTCTTGGATGAGTGCCTGCCTAGGGCAGGGGTGGTGCATCCCCAGGTGAGGGGGAGGGTCCTGATGGGTCCTAGGGGGTTGGCACCTTGTCTCCTGGATTCCTGTTATACACCACCCCAGGGGCAGGATTACCTGCTCTCCTACACACTTGGCACCTGGGGGTGATGTTAGGTAACCAGGTGAAACAAAACCCTGTCCCATATACCCGTGTGTTCCAGGTCCTGTCTCAGGGTGTGGACCCCGCAGGTAGAGCCCGAGGCCATGAAACTGAACCTGCAGAGGAGCATGGGCCTGTCCCGACGCCCTGGTCCCCAGGGTCTCCCACAGCAGTTGGCCTCAGTGTCCAGGACTTCTTGCCCAGAGGCCTAGGGACAGAGCAGCCTGTGGAATGCAGCGGGGCCTCTGTCCCAGGGAAGGCCCCCCTCTTGCCAGAAGTCCCTGTTTTGGGGGAAGCCCCTCTGCTGGAGCACGCACTGATGACTATCAGCTCAGACCTGCCTTCCTCGACTCTGGGGGTGCTGCCCACAGCAGCCGACACGCAGCCCTCGCAGGTGCCTGAGTATGACTTCAGCACTGTCCTGAGGCCAGCGGTGGCTGCCCCAGCCTCTCCAGGGTCCCTGCTGGCTCTGGAGGGGGACTTGGGCAGCGAGGGGCCGCAGCTGCAGTGGGACACCTGCACAAATCTGGGTCCCTGGGTCCCTGAAGTGCTGGCATCTGGGCCTGCAGACAAGGAATGCAGCAGTCTTCAGGACCAGCTCCTTGGGCACATGTCTGAAGGCAGTGTGCCCTCCCAGCCTCAGGGGAGTGTCCACGGCCACGTGTCTGATGCCAACATTAAGATTGAGGAGAACGTCTCGGACGTGGCCTCCTCTCGCCCCCGGTGGAGCATCCACGGCCACGTGTCTGATGCCAACATCAAGATTGGGGAGAA